CGCTACAAATATCTATTTTGATCTTGGACTATGGAAAACTTCTGAATGGTAAGAGATAGCGAGGGAAAAACATTTCGTCATCGCACCTTTAGCTCTTCAACATTTGTGGAAAGTTTCATTAAAACTGAATGTGAGAAAAAAAGTTTTTTTACTACCCAACCATCTTTTTTAATGCAACACTCGCAAGAAAACCTCGCAATTGCCCATTTGACGACAATGAGTCGAGAAAACTGAGAAAAGAACAGTGCATCACCCACACGTAAAACAGACAACTATGATGTACGAGCTGTATACTTTTACAAGGCATTTTTACCAATGTGATTTAGGCAGAAAAGTCTAAATTCATCTCGATACATAGAAAAATTGTGATAACTAGTAATATTGTCGTGATGTAGTTTTCATCATGATAATATGCGAGGAAGTTTTATAGTGGTTCATCGCGATAAACGCTGAAAGACTATTAACTATAAAACTTCCTCGCATATCCTTCACTGTGGGGCAGTTTTTTCTTATGCTTGAAGGTAGAGATCTCGGGTTTGTTTTATTTCAAAAGAAACACCTAACTACGTGCACTGATGGGACCAGATTTTCTAATTACGTCCTTGTTGCTTTTCTAGAGATCCAACGGCCTCAAAAATCCCAAACTCCCTTTGAAATAAAGATTCAAAAAGTCTCTCTCCAATGAACCAATATTGAAAAAAGTGCTCCACACTGGCATGTCTGAACAAAAAGCATGTTCTGAGAGAAACGCAACACAATGCTGACATAGAATTTTTTCGGTGAAAATTGTAAAAGGCTTATAACTTTTGAAGGGCACATTGTAGAGGACTGGGTGAGATATCATTTTGTAGAGAACACTTTCCTCTATGAGACTAACTATTTGAAAAAAGTTTCAGTTACTACAATGGAATTTAGAAAACGGAATGGAGACCCATAGTTTCCGAGATTGAGATGCTCCAACTTCAGAGGTATTGTCGCCCATTTGAGAAATGTATCTTGCACAACGACTGGTTACTACCGCAGTTTTTTACAGTTTGTTTTACATTTACACCCGGTGAATGTTGGGTAACTTTCCAGATGTTTCCATTTGACGACCAGCTCACCATCGACCTCCTCGTAACCATTACCTTTCAGATCAGGACAATACATATTCGATTCACATGTCTGTATCCAGATATTTATCTGGACATTTGCTCGTGCGAGGTGATACTGGGAGGCATCATCTGTGGGTGGGAGCCGATCTAGCAGAGATTTGGCTGAGATTGCTTGGATAAATTTCTTTGCACAAAAAGCTCGGGCTTCGTTCATTCTTCTTGCTGTGGAATCGTAACCTTTAACATTCGGAATTATGTGAGTTAGAGATGTCGAGTAAGAATTCAGAAAATCACTTACAAGATATATCAGGTATCAGGCATACATGTCTAGTATAATCACTGCATCTAGCCAAGGCTTCCAAATAAGCTCAGAAGTTGTGGAAATACCCAGTCTTGATGGTCAGACGACAGGATGGGAAAAGGAAATACTACTGCCAATTTAACTGATGACGATTTATTACCCGTGTGAAGACGTACGATTAAAAGAGGATCGAACACCATAACAAGCGCAATTTAAAAGTCGGTTAGCCCATGTATATTCGGCAGAATATACAAATTCGAATCGAGCACCACGAACGGGATGGGACATCCCAAGGATACAGAGGCGGAAGAGGGCGAGCAAGAGGAGGAAGACCATACCTGGCGGCTGATCAATAGAATAGAAGATGGGAAGAACACGAGAATCAACCGGACAATATAAGCAATAATGAGCGCAGACGCGCAAGACCACCAGAAAGAGGTAGACGAGGGACGGATACCCTGTTGCAACTACCATTGATCAGACGATCAAATGGCATAGTCATAACAGACTCATTAGGAAGGGATATACGAGGCGAGATGTTACGCAATAAGCACTGCTTCATCAAAATAGATATTTGTAGCGGCCCCACATTTGAAAATCGTGATCCAAATTTTTCAATAACCCAATGGTTAGAATCTAACGATTCTATGCGTGCCTGTCGGCAATGCAAATCATGCCTGATTATTGCTGGTACCAATGATATATGCGGAAAGTCAATTGACCAAATTATGGCTGATTTGAATATACTGATTGCAACATTAAAGTACAAATATCGATCAGTTCAGTGCGTGTACGTACACGAAATTATTAATCGAATGAAACCATGTTGGCAACAGCAGACACGAGAAGCAATGATGAATGACATTCGTCAGTATAATGAAAGATTACACGACATGGCACCTACATACGGCTATACAGTAGTCACAACGGACATAAAAGACAAAGACTGAAAAAATGACGGTGTACATTTAAACGACACTGGTGTACTAAAATTAGTTCCAATAAAGGAAACATTCTCTCACTATTCAAGGGTTGACGCCATGAAGAAGACTCCTTCGCAGGAATATGAAGGAAGATTTTCTTCGAATAATGAGCTACAGCTCATAGCGTTACATACAGAGAAGGAGCAAGAGATAATAAAGGTTTTGCAGACGGCATTAGGCAGATGGTAGAAAATGAACCCGAGGAAACTCTAGAAGACCGGAATTACCGTGGAGCGATAAGAAAATATATCTATGCACGTTTTTTACGAGATTACTACAAAGTAATATCGCAGTACTTATAGACGTACATCGACGATAAGACCGACGCCAAGCGGCTTCCAGTGAGCGTACACAAATATGTGGCACCACTGTATAGTATGACTAACCTCGGGGCCGGGAAGGTATGATACGAGAGGGCTGCAAAACAGACAGATGAAGGCAGAAACGAATCTGAAAAACGACTTATTGCATTAATTCATATTTCAGAAGGTATAACTACCGAAAAATGCGCAGCAATCATGAATCAAATAGAGCAATGAACACTTGTTCAAAGTAAAACGGTTTTGATTAAAGAATTGAAAGAAGAGATTAACCATGTTATTCTCTTTCAAATGAAAAAGGAACACAATCTAATATTTACCGAGTATTGAGATAAGATGGAAAACGATTTGGCGATTGGCAAACACTTCATTGAGAGGGAACGGAACACCCTTATCGCATTAAAAGGTACACAATTACAGTATATCACTCAACTTAAAAAGCTCGAAACCAGAGCCAGGATGCATGAAGCACTACCTTCGCTAAATGTAATTGATATAAAACTTCAGACGAAAATCGAAAAGGGAGACCCCGAAATGCTTATAATCCAAAAAGATTGGGATATGTCTATCCTACAGGTAAAATCAATCATGCTAAAATGCATGATTGATGCCAATAATCTGGAAATCAAAAAGATTGATGATGAAAGTGTCATGTCTAAAGCGAGACTACCACAAGAATATCAAGCAATTCTTGACAGAATTTACACAATAAGGGAAAAGATTGAAGGTAGAAATCTTGAGGCCAAGATCCATTTTTTAGAACAAAGATTAAACGAAGCCAAAGGGCGGTAGTTAAAGCCGGCGCCTATTACTCCCATCATTCCACGTACGGTCTATTAGCGCAGGCGATGAATACAGCAATATCATTGACATCATCTCAAAAAATGATATTGCGAAATGGTCCAAAGTACGTCTCCCCCAACTATGCAGAGGCAGTGCAACGATTACCAGATGAAATAAAAGTCATGACTGACAACATAAAAAACAGGTATGAGCGTCAACCGTCTAATCCTAAATTCGTTTTTCCAATGATCGATAATTTTGCGCAAAAAGTAGAAAGTACTATTGTAAATTATTTGGAAAAAGGGTTTGCTCAAGACCAATGCAAATATGCAAAGACTTGCACATTGCTACAGCAACTTAGAGACAGACAACGTAAAAGGGAGATAATGTTTAGGCAGTCAGATAAATCTAAAGTATTGAACATTGATTTACCGAAAAACTATCAGAAAAAATCAGATATCTATATGGCTAGAACCCGACGCCTATATAGAAATAAATGAACATCCATTGAAAAGAATGATTGAAAGTACGAATTTGATGCTAACTGACTTATTGAGCAAAAAACGTATATCAAAAACGGTATACGAGAAGTTGAAACCACCTCAAGACTGTGAGCAACCTCATTTATATTATAACCCAAAAGACCATAAACCAGGCGCACCATTCGGACCAATAGTAGCGCAGATAAAATCTCCTGTGGCACGTATATCACGCTTTTCAGACAAAACATTGAGATCGATATTTGAACAGCATACGGCTCATTATACATTACAAAATACAGATGCGTTTTTGAACCATCTCGAAAGGTATCCCATGACTGAAGATGCTATTTTGGCCACTTTCGATGTAACCGATTTATATACGATGATTCCCCAGAAATAGTCAGTTTCTGCGGTATGTAGACTACTAGCAGCGCGTAGAAAGTTTAAAACTGGTAACATATAAATTGATACTTTCGCAAAGTTGATTCGACATGTGTTAGACAACTCATATTTTGCATATGGAGAAAAACTCTTCAAACAAATAAAGGGAGGTGCCATGGGCAGCGCTGTAACTCAAGTATTGGCAGACGCATATATGTATGAATGGGAGAAAGACTTCCTAGCACAGCAGACTGCTGAAAACCAGTTATATCTACGTTTTAGAGACAATATCTTTATCACTTCAAGGTTGAAGCCAGAAAAACTTGAGGAGAGATTGAAATTTTACAACAGAAAGGACCCACATATAAAATTAACGTATGAGATAGGCAAGACTGCTAATTATCTGTTGTCGTTACAAGTTGTCGTTACTAGTAAAGGTAACGATTCAAGCGTTACCGTTAAAGTAACGGGTAACGCTCGTTACTTGTAACGGTAACGATTTGACTGTATCTGATACAGCGGGCAATTTTGACTTGGCACGTAGACATGTGCTAGAAAAGTAGCCAGAAAGCCTCGCAACACTCTTTTTATAGGTTTTCGTATGTGCTCTTTTGAATCGCCTGGTTTTTAAGCTTCCAAAGTATGTTCGTACTAGTTTTCCAAGACCGGATTTCGGGAAAACCTGTACAGACACACTTTGAAGGGTTAAAAACCATATCATTGAAAGGATTAGGTACGAAAACGTATAAAATTAGTACTGAGAGGCTTTCGGGCTACTTTTCTACCACGTGTCTATGTGCCAAATCAAAACTGCTGCATCCATTCGCTAAACTCGTAGCTTTAAACCAGATCGAAACATTTTCTGTTTAGAAATACTCCATATTCACATTGCTGGATGCAGTTTTTCATACTAATACCAAAAATCATATTATTTTTTAATATAAGTGCTCTATGACTGAGGAAAATGGAAAATACTTGAAAATCCAGGGATTTGGGGGAAATCTTTAACTCGACTTTGAAATATATGCGCGTTTTTGCACATTCACAAGATTAAAAGTTGATCACAAACCCATCTGTTTTCTTTCATAGTTCATTACTAAGTCTATCTATATTTTTTTTTGTCTATAAATATCTAAAGTAATATCAAACGATAGCTTTTAACAACTGGACTTTGTCTTTCAGAAACATGGAAAATTTGATTGACTTCGACGATAAGCCACAACGACTATTTCTGAGGATAAAGTTTCCAACTGAAAACACTTCACTTGCGACGGTGCTTGCTGGTATAGTTAAATATTTCCTCACAAACTTTGATAATAGCGGTAGGCGATCAGTATTTTCCAACCAGAACGAAGACGTGTTAAGGTGCCCACAATTCAAAGATCGAGTTAAATTTCTTTTTCTTGATAAATCATACACCATTCGACGCAGCAGTTCTCGACGCTGATTTCGAATATGTAAGATTTGTTGCGAAGAAACGCTTTCGTCTGGTAGAAAACCTTCAAATACTGAAAAACTGCCGGCACCCGAAAAAGCGCCCTTTTCCCGCTAAATTTCAAGTTTTTCTTTCCCAGTATGTCAAAACTGAAAACGCTTTTTTTCATTAGATTCAGCATGAAAAGTCGAACTGGAATGTTGCGTATCACGCACGCATTTTAGACAAAACATTGAGCCCGATATTTGAACAACATACGGCTCATTATAGATTACAAAATACAGATGCGTTTTTGAACCATCTCGAAAGGTATCCCACGACTGAAGATGCTATTTTGGCGAGTAAAGCAAGGTGCATAATGCCTACGTTTAGATGTTTTTAGCAATTCTATGCTTCCAGTGAAGTGAAAATGGAACAACGCGACAATGTACTATTTGCGCTAGGAGTCCCGCTGCTTCAGTAGCACTTTATGCGCGATCACGACGCAACTTCGCGAGAACTAGAAAGTCATGGCGCGATTTCACGAGAAAAGCAGGATCGTGGTACGACATCGTAACTTCTTTAGGACGATAACACAAGAATAGCGAATAAATCGCGATCGCGGCATGACAGACGCGAATTCTGCGCTTTCATTCTTAGACCACGACAAAACCGCGATCATAATCATGATCGCGTTACGCGTACTTGCCGCGACCTTTTATAGCGAATTGTGGCGCGACAAAAGTAAGATAGTTGATCTGGGGAGAGCTTCG